TTCTTCATAATTCCAAATATTATAACTTAATTTTCTACGAATCTCCTAGCAAAAAAATATACATTTATCAAGTCGTAATCTTTTATTATGGTATGGAATATTAATGAATAACAGATTCACGCAATTAATGAGACTAAAGTTAACAAGATTAACGATAAGAGCTAACATTAATCTTTGATATGATTACACACATGATAATACACACGCGACATAAGAGCCGATGCTAATATTGATACAAATGGAATATATGCATCATAATACCTTTCTGAAGAAACTTACAGTTTAATTCTATTTAAATAATTATTATGCGCAAGTTAAATGTCCTCATTACGAACAAGTTTGTATTTCATAGTTAAGATTCGTTTTCACATGATATTAAATGCCACAACATTTGTAGAACGAAAATAATGTGACATAAAAGAAAATAGAAAAGAAAGAGAATAAAATAATTTATGCAGAAGCTTTTCTCCAGAACTTCAGAAATTGTTTTCGGAAACAACAGAAAAATTCGAAATAAAGTATACATTAAAATCACAAACCTCTATAAAGACCTTTAATGCAATACTATTAGGAAGAAGCGCATTCTCTTTCGTTCTAATGTAAAACATACTCTCCGCGCGCAGCTCAACGTAATAGCTTTCCGGTGTTACATATATAATATGTATGAAACCCTCCGAAAACATCAAGGAGAAACTGAGATGAAGTGACAGGATATAAAAAGATGACTAAAAAGGGAAATGGAAAAGATCAAGAAATCTGTCAAAAATCAATATAATATCACAATTTATTTTTAGATGCTGACAACACATTAGTAATCTCTACGAGAGATAGAGGTTGAACTCTTTCTTTTGAGAGAAATAAAAGAATATTATTATATCCTTTTTAGAACTATTTTAGTATGAAAGAAAAAGACAGTTTTGACTGTATACATTTTAAGCGACAGTTTTGAATGTACACTTTGTAAGCGAAAAAGACGCATTATAAAATGTGTATAAAATTAGTGAATTGAATTATGTTTTAGAAAGAGAACAAAAGCTTAGATGCGTCTGAAAATTTTCAAAATAATTCTGATAATGATTCATGAATTCAATTAAATAAACTATAAAAATTCTATATATAATTGGCGAAATTATTGCCTTTTTTTCTTTTTTTTCATATTATATCATCTTCATTTAAACGAGCAATTCATGCGACTACTATCCCTATCCACTTTAGTTTCTATCGCCCTTTAGAAATTACTATTACTATGGAAACGCGATCTAAGGCACTTACCGTATCTACGTATAACAAAGAGAATTGAATTCATCGAAATTATACCTATTTCGATTCCCCGACCGACTTTAACGAAGCGACAAGTTTCCAACGGAAGTACGAAGAGCACAATTTTCAATCGATTTATCGAACATGCATTGCTACACGACAATACAACATACATTACTAACTACTCTCATTGTAAATCTCAACGCGAGATCCGCGCATTTGCAGAACTGACATGCGAATGTCTTTGAAGTTTCTCCGAGAAACGAAAAGCTCACCACGGCATTAATGATGGAAATTAACGTCGAGGTACTATTACAAATTGTTTCACATATGCAAAATGATTGTTATTATCACGTGTGTTAGGAAACATTATGCAACGTCTGCATTTCGCAACAAAGAATAATAAAAAGGAAGATTCATTGCTGAGTTTCTCATTAAATATGGCTGCGAGATAACGTATTATGCGACCGTAACACAAGAAAATTTATTTTTAAAAATTTCAATTGCGAAATTATAAGAATATATCCATTTTTTCCTTTTTAAAAGAGAAATCTCTGCCGAAACAATTTCAAAAATAATCTTTTATATATTCTATTTTTAAACGAGTAAGAACGAATGAAACGTTATCGTTCTTTAATATTTATAATTTTTAAAACATATAATTTTTAAAAATCATGCAGTTTTCACTTTGCTCTTTTTCTCTACCATATGCTTTCATAACTATATCCATTTAATCCGTACATTTAACGCTAAATGAGACTATTTAATTTCGAATTTTACATATTTAATATGATGAGAATCCCGTTTAACATAAAATAAGCAGCGAAAAAAGAGAACATTTAACATCAAACTCTTAATGAAAGAATATAAAACTAGATGTATTTATAAAATATTCTCCTGTCTACAATTACAATATTTTCATTTGGCGTTTCAATATATTTGGAGCATTTCAACTGCCGCGAGTAAATTATTCAATTAACTAACTGTACCAATCAACGGAGCATTTCCATTGAACCAATTACTCCATTTCGTTCTAGTACAAATCTAATGCTAATTATGTTATGCCATTTGAAGACATTGAAGCGCATATGTAGGTTCCATTTGCAAGAGCATCAACCATTAACTTGAAATAAATGGCAAACGCAGTTACAAGCAAAATCCTCTTGACGATGCAAAGATTGCATTCTGCGTGAAAACCGAGATAACGATAAACGATATCGCTGAAGAAGTTTATAAGTAGTAGGCGTGCTGTTGACAGAAGAAATGCGGAGGCGTAAAAAGAGACGAGAGTCTCTGTCGACTTAAAATGCACTTCGACGAGGTTCATGGAATATAAGAGCAAAAGCGAAACGAATAACAGAATGTTATAAATGTAGAAAAGATGAAGCATGTTTTAGCGAGACCACAGGGACGAATTTTCTTTCATCCATTAACATACGTTTTAATGGTCCCTATCGTGACTCGATTTCCTTCCTCTCCCCGGCATAATATTTAAACTGCTTCCTTTTCTCTTTTCCTTTTCATTGGAAAACGTAATATCGCGATTCGATTACGCAACTGTATCAAACATGAATTATAGTTAAGGTAAACTTTTCAAAATTTTCAAAATGTTTAATTCCAATGCTTTATAGATATTCGATCTTCTTTGAAAAGAGAGGATATCATTAAAAATAAAAATATAAGAAATATAGAGATGCATACAGAAAACAGACATTTTAAAAGAAAAGAGCAAAAATACAAGTTTCTGTAACGAACTTTGCGATATGCATGAAATATATGTATATCATATCTTACAAAAAAATTTTTAAAGTAGAAAATATAAAATTCATAACTTTAAAATTATAAACGTGTAATCTTAAATTACACGCGCTATAACAATTCGTGAAGTTTCGCCAGAAATACTTGACTATGATCGTTCGAGTCATACTCAAAACTAATTTATGAAAATATTTGAATGTCTGTCAGCATATTATATCCATTTTCGCAGATTATATATTCAAGATTTCTAAGGATATCTTACTTTTGCGAGGATACAAAGAATTGCTTTGACGGACGAAAAAGAACAATGCTTGAGATGAAGAGAAACGGAAATACAGAAAAGAGATGGGGGTAAACTAGAATGGAAAATTGGATCAACGCAGGCGCAAGAGCTACCCCATTCCAGCGTACGAGGCGTCACGACGCCTTTTCGCTTCACTCGGCGTCCGGACGCCCAACGTTTACGTCGGTCGCGCGACGTTCTTCTACCTGACGCGAAACAGCTGTGCCATTCGCAATAAGATCGCGTGGAATGCGAGAAGATTGTATAAGAATCGGTGCGAAGATACATAATTGTCATCGAAAATGAAGACATTCCGAAAAGAGATAAACATCGCAATATATTACGCCGATCTTAAATGAACACTTGATATAATTTTAACGCGGCATTTCCACGATCAAAAGCTTCTTTAAGTGATTAATTAGAGTGGAGGCGATAATTTGATCTGTTCGCGGACGAGAGAAGTGGAGAATTGAAAGCGTATGTTTGTGCGCCTCTTCGCACGGATTGATGATAATGCTCGTTTCGTGCTCGAGCAGTTAAAATGTTGTGCATAGGAAAGTGCTTCTATAGCATTCGAAGATCCATCGCATTACATCAGGGTGCGGCAACCACGATTAACAGTTGAAGCGCCCCTCCTACACATGTCACTAGCCACACGTGACACATGATATTGTGATTCTGCACGCAACACGCGAAAAGTCGATTCGTCCGGAAAGTTGCGTTTCTGTGGTTTCCCCATGTGCGATTAATCTTGGAAAAATAAATTAATTTTATCTTGCTATCAATTAATTAATAAAAGTTATTTAACATTAGAAATTAAATTTTATTAAATTTGAAAACAATTTGGTTAAAAAAAGCTATTAAATATTCTTATAATATTAATTAGCTATTATTCTTTTTTATTAAAAAAAATAAAAATATAAATAAAACTTGAAAACAAGATATCGTTGAACGCGATCAATTTGTATCTATTAAATACTGAAATCTAGATTCCAAAATGTAAAATATAAATGTGAACCATATGCTGTGACATTGAATGCTACGTCTTCTGGGAACATCAAATTATTACATCAAGAAAATACACAGATTAAATATTTCAACGCTTATTCGCGTTCCTCTTGATAACGTGAAAGTTTCGCCAGAAACACTTGACTATGATTGTTCGAGTCAAAACGAGGGAAAGATTCAAACACGTAACTTTATCTTTTCTCCTCTTTTATTGCGTAAAAACGTATCATCTCAAAGTTATTGTGCGATTTTAAGTTCAAAAAACCTAGAAGAGTTATTATATCCTTGATATTGAATCAGCGAACGACAAACTTTTTCCTTCTGGTCGAAGGTAATCGATCAAAATTGTAAAACGAATTGAAGATGCGATGTATGTCTTTATGAATAGACATTGGACTAAGATTTGATTCTAATCAGATCACCGAAGAGAGGCATCGAAATGACAGGAACATTTTTCCACTCGCAGTGTGCCAATACTTCTGTTTCTGAACTTCTAATATAACTATTAAATATGATATAATTAACATTGCTAAATGAAGAATAATCATTACCATAAAATAATAATATAACTAATAATTGTCTTCGTAATATAACAGTGATATTCTTCAGTATTAAAATATAAGTCGTCGATCATGTCATAACATAATTGTCAATCCTCGATGTAGTAGTGTAGATTATCAATTCTATAGAGAAGATTACATTTTCTTGGTATCGGAAACTTGTTCTACATACGCGATATTTTATCCTATTTACGATTCATCAGACACAACGAGAAAAGTTGTCGTACGGATGATAATAATCCATACGAAAAGGAACTTCGAAACTTCGCGAAAAAAGAAGAGTTCATTGATCTTTTCGCGCATCGTACTATAAAGACTTTGCACGCCTGTGCAAGACTACTTTCAAGACTCATCTCGCAAGGATGAATTCCACCCTGAACGTCACGCTGACAGCCGCGGCTTCGATCGAGTACTGCGGTTCTGGATGGGAGTCCTTCTACAATTGGTACAAGCAGGTACACGGATGGCTCAGTCTGTTTGTGTGTATATTCGGCTCGATTGCCAATGTCCTCAACATTGCTGTACTGACGCGTCGCGAGATGCAATCGCCTACTAATATGATTCTCACCGGTCTTGCCGTAGCCGATCTTTTCGTAATGATCGAATATATCCCCTACGCAATCCACGGGTACCTCTATCAGCGATCCCGCAGAGATACCTTCACCTACGGCTGGAGCATCTTTGTATTATTTCATTCGCACTTTACCCAGGTGTGTCATACGATCTCAATTTTCTTAACGGTGATCTTGGCAGTCTGGAGATATATCGCAGTAGCACATCCACAGCGTAATCGCGAATGGTGTACCGAAAAGCGCACTTTCTTGGTAATCGTTTCCACTTATATATGCTGTCCAATATTGTGCATACCGCTTTACATCAATACCGAGGTGAAACCGCATGTGGAAATACTGGATGAGCAAGGCAGGAGCATAAATCTGACAAAGTTCCAGCAGACAGCTAACGACACAGTCATGTCTCTAAGGGGAGCGACTAACACCACGTTGTACTTTGTAAAGCTCACTGAAACCCCGATAAACAACATTCCCAAGGATGTTAACTTCTGGATTTACAGCGTGGTAATTAAGCTGATACCGTGCTTGGCATTGACAGTGTTGAGTATTAAACTGTTAAAGGTGTTGTTGGAGGCGAAGCAGAGACGGAAAAATCTTACTACGAAAAATACCGCGATTAAAATGGGTAACGGTAAAGAGCATGTCTGCGAGAAACCTAAGAAGAAAAGAAAAACTACCGATAAAGAAAGACAGACTGACAGAACTACGATGATGTTGCTGGTAGTGCTCTTACTATTTCTCCTTACGGAAATGCCGCAGGGCATCCTGGGACTGCTCAGTGTTATTCTGGGTCCAGAATTCTTCAAAACATGCTACGTCATGTTAGGTAAGTTTGACGTGTATTAATATTAATATTAATCAAAAGTATAGTACTTACGTTACAATTGTTTCAAGAGAAATGTCCTTATTAAATATTTAAATTCATATATAAAGATTTTTCTCAATATTTAAAAAAAAATCATTTTATTTTTAATTTATTAATATATATATATATATATATATATATATATATATAATTATCATTATTATTATTATTATTAACTGTAGAAATATTTGTTAGGATTGTTTAAATAATTAAAAATTTTTTTACCCTATTTGTATATGCCCTATTTTTGACGATCATATTATTGTATTTTTTTATTCAACTTTTTCCGATATTTATACATAGATGTCAATATCAAGATATGCAGATATAATATTTCAATGTATTGAAAATATTTTAAATACTAAATAATTCAATTTTTTGCAATTGTATTTTTCATAAATATTAATATTTTCTTTTATTTATTTTAGTCATTAAAATTCACCTTTTTATTGTATATGCATATTAGAAAATATAAATATATGCATATTAAAATATATAAAGTATCTAAGCAATATTTTCAATTTTTTACAATTATACATTCTCTTCTTTTAATTTTGTTTTAGTTCTTATTAGAATTAGAAGTACAGAGTTGTAAACAAATAAAATTCTAAACAAATAAAATTCTTTAAAGTAAACTTTGGACGCATAAAATATTGTGCTATTATTGAAAAATTATTGAGTGAAATTTTTTATAAAAGAAACATTACTTATTTTTCCTCATCTTAATATTTTTATAATATGTGAAATTCATAAGAATATGTCATTCGCACATTATATATATGTAAGATTTATAACTAATTAGTAAAATTCTAATATCCATACACACACACACACACACACACACACATATATATATATATATCCAATTGTTTTAATTATGATAATAATTATGATAATACAAATGTACACAAATAAAATTTTGACAGATAACAACTGTGCTATGATATTATCCATTTAAAACATCTTTATTTTCATTATTCTCAATTTAAACCAGTTTGTATATAGCTTAGCAGTAATGAATTTTAATGGAATTGTGAATATATATTTGCTATCGATCATTTATATGTTATATTTCTCTTTTATATTACTTCTGTATCATTTTCAGCTAAAAGCTTTAATGATTGGTGATTTATTTTAAATGCAAAATTATTAGCTTCTTTTCACATTATATTTTTCTATTAAAAATGTGTCATAAAAATTCTATTTTAAAATAAATTAAAATAAAATAAAATAATAAGTTGATAAAAAATTATATTAAAGTAATATAATTTCTTTCTCATTAAACTATGAGTCAGGGTGATAGAATTACATATATTGACAGAAATCTTCTTCTTAATAAAAATCTTGATAAAAATTGAGTTCGCGAATCAAAAACAAACGAACGATCCAATTTCAAACCACTAAAACTTACACTGATTTCCGATTTCGAACGTTTGCTGCAAATTTTACCATACGAAATTTATCCATGATTGCGAGACATCTCATTTGCAAACGGACTATAAATAAGGTAACACGCGACTGCACACTCGACATTTATGATAAAACGTAAAACTTCCATAAAAGTTCTTATCAGAAATAAGAACGCGTGAAAAATGTCACTCCTATAATTTGGAGAGATAAAAAAGTTTTTTATTAAGCGCGATCTTTCTATTTGAAATATATCATTCAAAAGAAAAATTTATTTAAAAGTTACCAAAAGAGAGTATAATGAATACAAAATTCATAAGATTTTATATTTACTATTAAAAATTAAAAATTATTTTATATTTAATTTGATTTTTAAATTAATTATTAAAAATTTATTTTTAAGTATTCAATTTTATTTCACATTTAAATAGGGAAAGGAAAACCTTTAAAGAATACTTTTTAAAATAGAAAATTTTTTTAAAATGTGTTTTATATATATATATATATATATATATATATATATATATATATAGGGTGTTCTAAAAAGGTATGTCACAAATTTAAGGAGATATTCTTCACACCTGAAGGATGAAAAAATGTTATATGTAGATAGTGTTATATGTAGGTGAGGAAATGCTTATTTCAGGACTTATGTTGAAAATACTGTTAGCTGTATTACTTATACAAGGAAAAATTTAGGATTAATTATTGTAGACAACAATCATTTAATTAGGCTTATTTACATTTGGTTTTAATGTGACCTTGAGTATGTTACAATAAATGTTGAAAATGTTCACCATTTTCCTGAAAGCAGTGACACGTCGACGCATCGATTCACGGACATGTTAAAAAATGTATCCACCAGTACGTGATATTCAAGATCTTCGTGACCGTATCACTGCAGGTTGCGAAACAATCCGCTGTACGCCAGGATTTTTGAACGTGTCCGTAATCCTTAAATTTGTGACACACCTTTTTAGAACACCCTATATATATATATATATATATATATATATATATATATATATATATATATAACAAAAAAATATGAAAAATTATTAAAATTATTTTAGAAGAGAAGAAATGAAAAATCATACATTGTATAATTGATGCATTTGATATGCGATGTCTCGTACTTGAAATATAAAATTGAGGCAGATACAATGTTATACGAATCAAATTATACATTTCACGAATATTAAATATGTTTATTCTATGTATGTCACTAGTATTTGCATCGTCATCATAGTTAAATTCTGTGTTTTACATTATCATACATTATATGTCGCTGAAATCATTACCAAATGTGAGTGATTGAAAACATAGCAGCAGTCTTTTTAAAAGTAATACATATGTATATTAATTATATATACTATTTTTTTTAATAATAATATATTTTTAAAAATATACATGTATATATATATATATATATATATATATATATATACATATATATGTAATATATTGTTGTAATCTTTTATTAAAACATTTTATCTTTTTATTAAAACAATGTATTTCGTAGAATATTTTTTTACAATATAATATTTTACTTTATTATATCATTTTTATATAAAAGTGATTTTAAACAGTATATTTCAAATTATTATTGAATTATCAACATTGAAATGCAAACGTGTGAAACATAGTTTGTTAGATTATTAGATTTATTTTAATAGAAATCGTAAAAGTATATTCTCGTATAATTTATATTCTCGTATAGAAAAATATAAATTAGAAGACTAAGAAAAAGATAAATAACAATTTAATATTGTTGATTTTTTCTTCATTCTGACTTCATTTCTGAACAAATGCGAAAAAAATCAATATATCTCTTTTTATCATGAAATTACAAGCATTCGGTAAGATTTTCATATAGAATGCGATAAATATTTTCCTTCATATGATTCAAATGTGACATAATAGAATCTATTTTTACTCTGTTTGAATATTAAGCTGGAAAAGGGGAACAAACAAATATCCTGTCCAAATGTGCTTCCAAATATCGAAACTTTGCAGATATTTTATATTACATGAAATTCTGGAAATCCAAATCTCTTTCATTCTTTTAAAGTTCAATCCTTTCATTAATATCGCATATCAAATGACATCTACTAAAATTTCAAGAAATAACAGAAGAGTACATTTTTTTATATCCTAAAGAAAATTGTATGATAACTCATTCTATTTCATTACAGTAATAATTGTTTTCTTTTGATCTTACAATTTTTCGAAACACGTTCGCATACATTTTTGCAAAATAGGTATATAGATAAGGGGAGAGATATAAGTGATATATTTTAGTATGATTTATAATCTCGCGCGATTCCATGAATATCTTAGTCACGAACTTCCTTCTTTTTGTCTTCTGTGTGTTAGCAAAAAATAAATTGGGGATCTGCATAATTAAATGCAAATCACTTCATACGAAAAATCGGAAAAAACATGAATCTTCATTAATTTTATCAAAAAAATATTTTACATTTAACCATAAATGTCACATCTTATAATTTCTATGAGTTACAATTTATATATTTATAGAAAAAAATGTATTATTGCTTATATACTTTATCGTATAATTAAAAAATACTCAGAACAACTTCATCTATTTAAATATTCACACTTTTAGATAGATAAGAACCAATTATATATGTATATATTGTATAAAAATATGCATATATAATTAGTATATAAATTTTGTATAATATGAATTAAACCTTTAAAAAACTAAAGAGTTTAAAAATTTAATTATCCTCAAGATAATCTTTTTATTTAAAATATTAAAAAAATATTTAGAATAAAAAAATAAGAATATGTAAACTTAGTACATTTTTTGATTATTTAAATATTAAAAAAAGTTCACTTCACATACGTTTATAAATTCTACGAAAATTAATTAATTTTACATATTAATCTTATATTACATATATTACAACTTTCAATATGCAACTAATGTCTCATAGTTTATAATCTCGTTAGTATCTCGTATCCCATCTTCGATTGAAGTATTCTAATTAATACGCATACTTTCATTAATGTTGCGGTCGTACAAATGTAATCTCTGTGTATGTGGCAAAAGTAAAGGCCAACAGGCATCGTGTACACGATATGTCGATACTATGTGCACCAACGTTATTCACTCCGGGATTTAACCTCGGGGTTTCATGTAAAATATAGCTTTCATCTCTCTTTGACCAGTTGTGTATGGGCGGCAGAAAGACGCATGTGGTTTGATTTGACGTACGTTTAAGCGATATCTAGACGATAATAAAGCAATATACGTGCAATGATTTGACATAGCATAATCATACATACGTGTGAATGTGCATTGCACATTATTATGTACTGTTTAAATTATATCATATCAATTACTGCTTAAATTAACACAATTTTGCGCCTTTTTACTTCTCGTGTACACAATCGGTCTTTATACAATGAAATTAAAACAATCATTGAAATTCGATTTAAAAAAAACAGACAGCTAAATAAGTCAATTTGTCAATCTATCTTACTTTTATTTTACTTTTTAAATAAGAGAGTTCAAAGTTACATGTAAC